CTCCTCTCCCCATCGGGCTCCGGAGCCATGAGCAGCGCTGTGGTCCTCGCCCACCTCCCAGACCCCAGCAGCAGCTTCAGGGAAGACGCTCCCCGACCCCCTGTCCCGGGGGAGGAAGGAGAAGCACTATGTCCCCAACTCTCCAGCTCGTTCCTCCCCAAAAGCCAAAGCTTCAAGGCCATGCCGGTGCCTCCTGCCCCGCGGAGGAATGAGAACGGGCTCGGGGAGCCGGAAGGCAGCGCATCCCCAGACTCCCCTCTGGCCAGATGGACCAAATCCTTGCATTCCTTGTTGGGAGATCAAGATGGTGCCTATCTTTTTCGGACCTTCTTGGAGAGGGAAAAGTGTGTGGATACCTTAGACTTCTGGTTCGCCTGCAATGGCTTCAGGCAGATGGACCTTAAGGATACCAAAACTTTAAGAGTAGCCAAAGCTATATACAAAAGGTACATCGAGAACAACAGCATCGTCTCCAAGCAGCTCAAGCCTGCTACCAAGACCTACATAAGGGATAGCATCAAGAAGCAGCAGATAGATTCTATCATGTTTGATCAGGCACAGACTGAGATTCAGACCGTGATGGAGGAAAATGCTTACCAGATGTTTTTAACTTCTGATATATACCTCGAATATGTAAGGAGTGGAGGAGAGAACCCTGCTTACATGAACAGCAATGGACTGGGGAGCTTAAAAGTTGTCTGTGGCTATCTCCCGACCTTGAATGAAGAAGAGGAATGGAGCTGTGCAGACTTTAAAAACAAAATCTTGCCTTCGGTGGTTGGACTATCCAGCAAGACGTTGAGGGTTACAGCGAACGTCCGAGCTACGGAGATGATCGAGAACGGCTACAGGTAAGGGGAGCCCTGAAATCCTGCTTTGTTTTAACTTCAAGGACTTGGGGAGTGCTTTTTGGAAGGAGGGCTGTTGGTCTGGTGTGCTGGGGAGCTAGCAGGGAGTCTAGGGGAGGCTGGGCTGTGGGGGCTTCCCCGCACCTCCAGACACTGGAATTTGGGGGGTGTTGGCTTGGTTTGGTTTTTTTTTTCCCCTCTGTGCAGAGGAAAACAAGATACTGTGCTCTTAAGCCCTCTTGGCTCTTTCAGTTCTCCCAGAGATCAAAAACTTCAGAGCAACTATGTCCTCCGGACATACGTTAATTATTGGTTCAACTTTCAAACCTATTAAGAGCAGTAGTAGAGTGGATCATATAGACGCATGAATAATGTACCCTACTAGTTCCCCAACTCCACCATCAGCCAGTGTTTAACTACGTTGGTTATGTGGGAAGCAATTGTGCGGTCGTGGAGGAGGAAATGCATGCACTTATTACATCAAACTCTGCAGCTTGCACAGAATCTGGTTTTATTTTGACCGTGTGTGTGTGATGTGCAGCCTCTCCCATGGTGTTGGGTGTTGGTGTCGTGTCAGAGCCACTTGGGGTGGCTTCGAGCCAATGCATACAGGAGGATACTTGAGTGCTGAAGGTAGTGGAGATGCTCAGGGTAGAGTAATAGTAGATCTTTGGTGTCCTCCTGCAGGTCTTTGGTGCCCTCCTGTTGGCAGTGTGCTCAAAGTTAGGCTCATCAGAACGTGCTGGTGTCTGATGGCAGCTCGTGAGGATGTGGGGAGTGTTGTGTGGTGGCAGGGTCGTCGTGTTGCCCTTGGCTTGGGGTCCATCTGCCTCGGCAGACCCCTCTCTTTTGTTGGAAATGTTGGTGGCACAGCAGTGTGAGGGTGCAGAAAGTAAGAGCCATCTCGAAGTGGAGAGGGGGATGGGAAAGAAAGACTCTGATGAGCAAATCGTGAGTTGTATAATCCTCTGAAAATGTATTCTTTCCTCTCCCCACCCTTGCCATAAATGTGGATTGTTGAATCAGGGCTGAGGGGAGAGGGCTCTGCTGGCAGATGTGCGCTCTCCTCGGCTGGCCCAGGAGGTTGGGGTTTGGTATGGTGAGTGTTTGACATCTCGTTTACAGGAATTTTGAGAGCGTGTCTGTGATTCATGGACATCAAAGGGCATCAGGCTCCTCCTGGGGAGGCTTTGCTGGAGCGCGCCCGGCTCTCCTGCCCTGCGGAGAGCTTCCAGCTGTGCCAGCCTTCCCCGTGCCCAGCTGCCAGAGCTGGGAGGGTCCTCTTGCCCTTCAGGGTGCTGCTGAGCCAGAGGCCTCTTTGGTCCTCTCCCTGGCCCGGAGGGGCGATGGGCGTGGGTGCAGAGGGAGGGATGGGGTTCGTCCCGCCCTGGTGGCCTCTGGACCTCTCCTGCTGGGGGGCTGTGCGGGGGCAGGGCCGGGGGGGTCGCTCGCTGGCAGCTGGTCTGTGGAGGACTTGGGCTTTGGGATCCTCATCTCGTGCCTGAGTGTTACTGTCTGAGCATCTGCTGCTCTCCAGAACTTGGTTTGAACTGCTGCCCTTCGCTTGCTTTCCAGGAGGGGGATGTTTGATGCTTTTATCTCTCAGCCTTTGTTGGTATTCAGTGCTGGAAGGGCTTGGCTGTAATGTTCTACCAGAGCTGCAGGCCCTGCTAAAAACCCACATGTGCCTTGTCCAGGAGAGCTCTCGCAGAACTGTGGCTGCTTGCCTGATTAGTGCTGGGGTTTTTTTTTCTCCCTCCTTTTTCTTTTTTTTTTCCCCTTTCTTTTTTGTCCAGGGATTAATGCAGCTTGCTCCTCACATGTCAGATCTACCCTCCTAGGACATTAGGTAGTGCATTTTACTTTGATCACTTTCTGTTGAATTTCCAGGAGCTTTTGCTCTCCATGGGGCCAAGAGATCTCAATGCAAAGAGAGGGAGGTCAAGCTGAGATGCTTCTCAGTTCCTCCCTGAGCTATCCATTTGTGAAGCCACTTGTGCGTGCATGTGCTAGAAGCTGATGAGCATATGGATGGGTTATCTCTCATCACTCAGCATTTAGGATTGCGTTTAGGACCGGAGCTGAAGCTTGCACAAAGTCTTTCCTGGTGAGCGGCCAAACCACACCTCCCTCCTCGTGTGTGTGATGGAGTCAGAATTTCGGTTCTGCAGCACCACTGCTGGGGTCACACCAGTGAGAGCGGGGAGCGCTGGGCTGAGCACACCTGACGCTGGGAGCAGAGGCAGCTCGGGTGTGTTTGGATGGGAGAACGCCTGGAAATCCCAGGGCACGGAGTCACGGCCAAAACCACGGCGAGCAGGAGACCGCAGAACCCATGCAAGTTGAAAGACTTTGTTTGGCCCCAGTGATGGACAGGAGCAGGAGAAGCCCAGTGAGAACCCAGCGTCTGCCCCTGGCCGCAGAGCAGGCGCGCATGCGAGCTGCCGCCCGGCTATTTGGAGCCCTGGGACGGGGAACAGTTTAAACCTAGAACCTCCCTCTCGTCCTTCAAGGCGCCTCCCCTCCCCTGTAGGTTGTGGGGTGGTTAAAAGCGGCCTCCCCGCGCCGGACCTGGCCCCGTGCTCCAGGAATTCCAGCTATTATTTATACGCGCGTCTAAATTTATCAGGCGCGAGCGTGTGTGCAGGGAGAGGGCTCCTTCCCTCGCCGCCCCGCGGGGGGACGTGCTCTGCTTCGGCCCGAGCTGGACTCATCTGCCTCCCATTAAGCCACCAGTGGGACTGGCCTGGCGTTGGGAAGGCTGGGGCTTGCAGATGGCCTTCTGCCTGCTCCCAGTGCTTCCTGGCCTTTGAGAGGACCCGCCGGTGGGGCTCCTTCTGTGTGAAGTTATTGGAACCCAGTTTGGCTTCAATTATCAAAGTAAATGATGCCATTGTAAAGCTATGCTCCAAGCAGTGTTCTACAATTAGAGCATGGAAGCTGTGATTAACATAGTTTTGTTAAAATATACTTGTTTTTTCGGGTTTGTAGTGGTGTGGGTTTTTTTCCTTTTTTTTTTTTCTTCTTTTTAAACCCATGATTGCTCAGTGATGTTTGTCCCAAGAAACTGCTTAATGAGATTCAATTTTGCCTCCAAATGTTCCATGTAGATTTTCTTCTCTCTCCATATATAAATCTACGTTTTGAACTGCCACAGTGCTTTTATTTCTAAAAAGCAGAGTTTGACAACAACAACAAAACAACCCCAAGCTCTGAAACTGCACCCTCCTAACAAGGGATACAACCAAGAGCCCCTGAAATTTTCATGGCATTATAATACCTCTGATATGCCCATTGCCTAACATAGCATGTAGAGAGTTCCATGCTGTGTGTCATCGCATCAAGATAAGAATAGGCTGAGAAACATCAGACATTCTCCTTGAAGCTCCAGAGCAACTGCTACCTGACAGCTGAAAACACTTTGCATATGGAGTTAGGAGCTGGGCTCTGTGTTTGTGTGTGCAGCATCTGTGGCAGGAGACCACCACTTTCCACTGGAATTTAAAACCCTCGCAGGCAACTTGATGCATCTGGGTGCAATTACTGTAGTAAGGTGGTCAAATTAAGAAGGGGGGGGAAAAAAAAATAATAATAAAAAAAACTTTGAACACAGCAAAATCAGCCCCCCTTGGTTTTCTTGAAGGATGTGGGGGTTTCTGTGGGGTGGGGTGGTGGAGCTGGAGGGCTTGTTTTAAAAGTGTCAGCTTTAGGGATTTTGGGGGTTGTCTTATGTCCCTGAGGTGTTGGTAGGTGAGTTGGTGCTGCAGCCCAGTGCTGATGGGAAGATGAGTTAGTTCTGGCCACTTTCTCTAATTCTATCCTCCCAAAGGCTGTGTTTGGACACACCTCCTCTCCCTGTGCCGTATCCATAGGGCCCCACTGCCTCCGCCCCCACCTCAGCCTCTCCAGCAACCCTGGGAGAACATGGCAAATCAGCCCTCCTGGATGCAACCAGGGATGGCCCAGCCACCTCCCAGCAAGGTGGTGGTCCTGTGCTGGGGAGCACCCTGCACCCCAGAGCCAGGTGGAGCATCCTGAGCCTCCTGGTCCTCAGATGTGCTCTCAAGACCTGAGGTGGTTTCACATCAAATAGTTACAAGAGCTGCATCCCTGGCAGAGTCAGCCCCAAAGCCCAGTGAAGGACCTGGGAAGGGTTGCTTGGACTGTACATCCTCCTGAATGTGACCAGAAGACTACATGGGTTTTGGAGGAACTTTTTTTGTAGTAACTTAGCTTTCATCCACATGTGGAATTAATTTATCTTTGAAGATTTAACTTCTTTCCTGTGGCATTCCTTACTATCTCTTTTTTTTTTCTTCTTCTTCCCAGATATATATTTTCTAACATCTTGATCTCCCCATCAGCAATGCCTTGGCCTCCTTGGGAAAGGAATGCAGCCCCGGCTGGGCTGAATACCTGCCTGCAGCCAGCCCCGCGCCGCTCATTCCAGAGAGGCCTGGCCTCCCCACCAGCCTTCCCCCTCCTTTCTGCTTGGCTTTTTTCTTTCCCCCGTTGTTGTTCGGTTTTTTTTGTGAAGTTGAGCCTTGGTGGAGGCTCCT